TTCACAACACTTTCGACAAATTATATCCTTTGAATCCCACTTAATCCTGTTTGCTTACCTATATACAACGCAACCGTTAGAACCGTTGTAACTGACACAAGTAACCAATTCATTTCGCTTTTTTTGAACTTATTTTAATGTTTAAATGTATTAACAATAATAAACTGCAAGAAGGTTTGTTAAAGAACGTCGAAAGACCGTTTTTTGTTTTTATTTTTCAATATGTTATGCGGAAACTGAAAAAAACGAAAAGTGACTTTAAGGAAGGCGAGAACCCACCACCATACGTAAATTTATTACGTATTTCCCGCTAGTAAGGCAAAATTAAACTGAACGACTAGATATACCGAAATAAAAATTATGCGCGTATGGAAAGTACTATATCGTATGCAATATAGTCTAGATAGTCGCATAGGAATGAGTACGTAGCTATAGCCAAATTACAAAAACAAAGCAATAAAAAAACAACTGTTTTATAAACATAGAGAGAGTCAGTCGGTTGGACGGGCTGTGTGTCCGTTCCGTTTGGCTGCTCAACTGTTGAAACTGTTGAATATACATACATACATACATATGTATGAGTATGCGAATGCGAGTGCATATTGTACCCCAAGTGATCGTGGTGTGCGCCAACCTGAGGCATATGCCACACCGAGCGAGCGTGCGCCGCTAGTCATACGTATAATAACTAAATGGTAGAGAGGATAATACAGAATGTGTGTGTATTTTGTAGGCGAAGAATATCAAGTCGTTAGTGGTTCCGTTTACATCAAGTCTTGCAATGTGCGAGCGATACATTTAGTATATTGTCAAATGCATAACTATACAAACAAATATAAATATATGTAGTACTACCGGACGCATGCCAAGAGCAAAGGCGCTTAAGAGGAAGCAAGTGTGAAGTAGCTGATTTTTGTGTGATTGTAAATATATTCTTCAAGCATTCTATTACATTTATTGTACTATTAGCCCGTTAGAAAATTCATACAATTTTGTTTTTATACCCTGCATAGGGTATACTTAGCTTGTCACGAAGTTTGTAACAGGCAGAAGGAAACGTTGGAGACCCTATAAAGTGTATATATAAACGATGAGCGTGACGAGCTGAGTCGACTTAGCCATGTCAATCTGTCTGTCTGTATGTACGCGAATGAGTCCCTCAGTTTATGATACAGATCGGAAATTCTGCATACGTCCTTTTCTCGCCAGGAAGCTGCTTATTACTCATATAGCTGTTATATAATATAAGCTGACCGATCAAAATCAAGATAACGATCATTTTATCTCCTTTTATGCTATAAGAAATGCACCTATGAAGGGTATTATAGCTTCGGTGCAGTCGATGTTAACGTTTTTTCTTTTTGTCTTGGCAGAAGCTCTCAAGCAATACAAAAGATCGCAAATGAAAAGTTTTGCAGAAAACACTTGTTTCTTGTTTGTATGTGTGTGCATTATGAGCAAGAAATGAAAATGAAATGCGAATATCAAAGATATAAAAAACGAGCTAAAACAAAAAATCACAAACAAATGGCAAGAAAATTCTACATATGATTCATAGACTGGCTACACTTGGTATGTACATACATATGTATGGTTGTATATAAAAATAAAAAATGCTTAAAATTTAGCACAATCGGATATTGAAGAATATTTTTTTGTCAAATGCTTTTGAAGAAATTGGTTAAATTTATTGAATATACTATTTCATAGTTTTTGGACAAGTATATGTAACGCCTACAACTATGCTTATAAGACACAAGAGCACCGAAGTTGGTGTACAAAGTGCAAAAACCTAATATAAATGAAAATGCAAAAGTATAAAAAAATACACAAAATGATTTTGGATGACCGAAAAATTAAGTTGACTGAGATAGTGGACACTGTACGTATATAAAAACAACATATCTATATACTTACATATGTATGTATAGCATCGTTCATGAATATTTGTGTAATAACAACTGATCAAATATGACACGGACTATTAAAAAAAACTTATACTCCTCAATACACTTCTGCAACATTTTCCATGATAGCGTAGCCGTCCATTGACATATGGAGATCAGCACGAACATAAAAAGAGATTGTACAAATCTAGAGAAATTTTTTTTTAACAATTTGGTTTGTGCACGCAATTTTAATGGTCCAGTCCGAGTCAAATTTGATCAGTTGTTAGACTAATATTTCCGCGTCGATATGTGGCAATTGATGAAACATGGCTCCGTCATTTCGCTCTGAAGTTTAATTGACATTCTCCCGTGTGCACAGCATACAATGAAGCGAATTCAAAGCGTAGAAAGAAGCAACAGTTAGCTTTCGTATTGGAACGACGTTTGGCGAACGAAATTCTGACAGCCGCAGTCTTAGAAGAAGGACGGCTGCTGCGTCTGGACAATTGGAAAAATTATATGAATTGGAACTTAAATTCCTTTCGTATCTGCTATACTCTCCAGATATTAAAATATTATGAGATATTATTTTTTATTTATTTATTTTTTGTTTTAATTTTGTAGACTATTTTATTTCGACGTAGGTTAAAAAATTGCAATAAAAAACTTTCAAAACATTTCTAAACAGTACTCACATATGTGCTCACATATAAACTATTGTGTTCCAAATGTACACCCCTAATATAGCTGTATACAAACAATTGCATTTATTTTCCCCAATTCGACATTACGATCGCAAATTTATGCTCTCTGATTGAGCCGGTCTTGCACTTAGGCACATGCCATGAGTGCTTGTACCTTCCGGTAGCCAAATAACAAACATGTAAACGAAGAGAGCAGAGACGGCCCAGAGAATTGGCCGAAAAACCCACCCTCTACTTTCGTATCTAGTTATGCACATGTATTCGGCTTGGCACGGTTGTAGAGCAGGTGGGTCTAACATTTGCCTCTGCCGCAAAAGGTAATTTGTTAGCATTGTAATAAAAAAACAGTTGGCGGGGAACCATAACAAAAACAATAACAACAACATTAGCAATACACTATAGCGTTTGGTTGAACGAACCTTCATATGCGATTACTCGATTTTGTGTGTATATGTATGTGTGATCATTTATCTACAATGAATGCAGCAACACATAATTTTCTTTTCGAATTGTATGTAATATGTTAAGCGCGAATAGATTACGATAGATCACTTAAATTCTATTAGAAATTTAACCCTTAAATGTACTATTTATTACATGAGAGTAACAAGTCCTATAATAACCGGTCGCGTTATTGGTCTAATATACTTATTGATTTGAAAATACAACTCTCGAAAAATCGATATACTTTTGATTTTATTGAAACATTATCTTACAAATTTACCGGTATTTTCATCTATAGGCACTGAGCTGCTAATAATAAATTATTTTACATAATTTATAATGACTATTATTATGGGTCATTGACTCCTTTGTTAAAATTTAGTGAAGACAGCAACCCAAGGTCCTTTGCTTACCTTTAGACAGGACAACAACCCGAAGTCAATGACCCTTTTGATCTCGTTGAGCGAAGACAACAACATGAGCTCAATGTCCTTTTTGTTTATCTGTAGCAAAGACATCAACCCTCTATTATTTAGTGATAGCTCTAGACCAATTTTATTTATATTCAGCTCATAATCACATTATTTTTAAGAAATATTATCCACATATTTTTATTAAAATATCATAAATTTTTAACAATATAAACAGCTTAGATCCAGGTGGAAAGTTAGACTGATTTCCCACCTAGTATACAGGGGCTAACAGAAGGTCTGAATTGATTGCATTAACTTTTGTCATTACCCAAACATACTCGAGAACATGTTTCCCCGCAATAACAGAATAACCAAAATCAATATATGCAGTATAAGGGAGTTAGAGTAATTCTGGACCTCATTATATGTTCGAAAACATTTTTATAACGCACTTAAGGGGTTACATGGGTTTCGTCGAGCAAAAAGAAAACGCTCTATTTTCTATAATTTTTTTTTTTTATAAAAATTAAATATTTTATTCAAACTTCTTATTATTCCAAAGATACATATTTTACAAAGCTTTTGTGAAATTTTTAATGGAAAATATTCAAAACTCTGTCACTACGACGTCATTTCCGGCTGTCCCTCAGAAAAAAGGTACCACCGCGTTGACAGCAGAACTTCTGACAGGCGTATCAAAAGTAAAAAGAAAAATTACATATTTGAATTAAGACCATAAACTAGATATTAGACGAAGGAAAAACAAAAAAAGTGAAAACTGTACTTTTGGCAGACGTTTTTACAAAAAAAAATGCAAATTTTGGTGAAAATCTCCCGACGTTTTTGTTTGTTTTTTAGTTGTAATTGAACAAACCAAAAACCCTTCGTTCAAGACCTTGTAAATTATAGCTCAAAGACCTGTGTAAAATTTCATTAAGATCGGTTGAGAAGCTCGCGAGCAAACTTGACAACCGACTTTGAAAACACAGTTTCAAGAAAAACGCTTTTAAAGTTTTAAGTGATTACGTGTATATAGCTGACCTCGAGCGCGCAACTTTTCTCAGCCATACCTCCAAATCTATCACTGGCATCAACTTGAGAATTTATGACAATATTCTAGAGATGTTATAGAATTAAATAAGACAATAAAAAAATGTATTTTTGTGAAGCCATGAAACCCATGTAATCCCTGAAAAAAATCATTGATGCTTTGCACAAAATAAGTTTGAAGCGCCATTGCACTAAATACAATGCATACTTTTAGGGAGTGATTGACTAAATACAACTTGCACGCTTACACATACACGTACACACTGATCTTTTTTTCAAAAAATATCGCTGAAACATTTTCTGTTATGCGTTATGCATATTGTACGCGAAACTTGCTCATTGCTTTGTTTTGAATGATGAAATATATGCAATATATAAGTTAACTGTTAAACCATTTTCACATGCATGTAGTGGGCTGCTTTTGCTGTTAACAAAAACACACATACTCGTATGTGCAATTATATACACGCATGATATGGCTGAGCAAAGTAACTGTTCACCAAGCACCCACAGCGTTCACTTCCTGTGAGAGAAAATTGAAGAAATTAGAGAAACCCCAACAATTACTATTTGGCTTATGTCATCCTTTATAATATAAAATAGTCGTGTATTTTTTAAAATTTATACAAACAAAATATAGATAAATTAATTCTGTTATAATGCCTCAAGAGCATAAGCTGGTTATTACTTATTTACAAGTCCAAACGCTGCTCGGCGCCCATTCACAAGCAAAATAAAATGGAAAAAGAAAAAAAATTAATTCAACTATGTAGAGGTCAAAATGCAAAGCGAAAATTGGAAAACAATGGCCAAGCGTTGTGCAGAGCGTTCAGTTTCGCGGCAGCTTAGCGAAGGCTAAGATTAATTTAACCGAAAAGTGATACGCTTTTGAATTGATGATTTTGTGCGGTTTGAAATCAGAAAAAATTAGTTTGTAAATATAAAATATATTGTAATAATAGTAGAAAAAAATAAAATTGTGCTTCAACGGTTGACTAGTTAACGTATAGTATATTTAATTTGTTGCCAAAGAAATAGAGCCCACGAATAATAAGCGTACAAGTGAAAGAAAACTTTTTTTTCCGAGCATTCGCTGCCCTACAGTGCCTGGAGCTGCTACGACCAAGAAACCGTGCACTCTTTTTCTACTTCATAAGTCGCAAGTAAATGTTTGAGAAATTAAAATAAGTTTTTAATTTTTTTTTTATAAAAAAAATGAGCACGTATGTTCAATGTCTACAAATCGGTTTCGAAAGTAAAAGTTAATGTTTTTGTAGAATTTGTGCTTCACAATTATATATGAAATTCTAAATAATTACATTAGAATAATGTTATCTAGAATAATCGGAAGTGAAGATCTTTGAATTTTCTTAGCTTCTTTGAAGACATAGATACAAGTATATTAAAAATACTGACATTATTGATCAATTTTGAGCGGTCAGTTGGAATGTCAGCTATTTGCTGTAGTGGTCCGATATTAAAAATTTCTTCGGAGACTGTAGCGTTTTCTGGAAAATAATCGGTGCCAATTTTCATTTCAGATATTTTGTAAACTAAAAAAAAATTTCATACAAGAACTTAATCGATTAGTTAGTTAGTTTCCGAAAGAAGTTAGTTTGTTGGAAAGAATAGGACGTATGCATGATTTTGGAACGATATTTCAATAACTAAGGGACTAGTTCGCGTATATACAGACAGACAGATTGACATGGCTAAATCTACTTAGCTCATCACGGTCATCTTTTATACACACATATACTTTATAGAGCATCCGACGTTTCTTTCTGGGTGTTACAAACTTCATGACAAACTTAATATAACCAGTTCAGGTATAAAAAGTATGCTTTATACAGCACTTATACAGCTTTAAGTCAAAATAGTATGCACCTGAAACAAATCTAAAGCAATAAATTCACATTTATGCAGTTATGGTCTAACCATTTCAAGTTGTCTGCATTTATAAAGATGTAAAATTAAATATTCATGATATGAACCAGTTCATTTTTGAGACAAGAAATAATAAATGAGAACAGCAGTTATGTTACGAAACATGACCGAAATTTGAACAGCTTTTATAGAGTGTAAAACACTTACATAAGTACAATATATATTTTTGTACTCTGCCTGGTAAGACCTTGTCGTATATTAATCCCTACAGTCTTCTCTGCTAACACAATCCGTGAGATTTCGTCTTTAAGAAATCTTATTATGCTTCCAAAGAAGACGTAAAAAGAGTTCTATTGAGAAATGAAGTGATTTTACAAGCCTCTATTTAACGTTAGCAAAGCGGAAAGTATTCATGGCATTTCTCCTCTCATTTAAGATTTCATTGAAAGGTTGTTGACTTTGCTGAACAAATTTTGAAATCAACAGTGTTCATACAAGTATAAGAAATTCTTGGTAATTCAGTGGGAAGCCAGTACGCGTTTTCCGATTAAAAATTATATTATAAACAGAAAAGATTATAGGTACAGGCATGATCGAGCTGGTGATTTCTTAATAAGAGGATAGTTCTACTTACCTCACCCTTATGTAGAGTTTAACACTTAGTGCGATGTTCATAATCTCGAGAGACTTCATAACTTCTATTGAAGCGCCAGCTCATTATAACTAACAATGTTTGGAATGCTAATAGTATTTAAGCAGAAGAAGTATAAAAAATGCTTAAAGTCCAAAATACTGACGGTAAGCGCAAGATCTGCATAGCACATGAAAAATTGAACACTTTTGTGGAACTGGTTCAGCTACTTATAACACAATGGATTTTCGTACAAACCTATGAGTTTATAGAAATACAATTATCATACTGTCAAATCGGCTTGAAATATTTTCAGTGGATTATTTATTCTTTTCATTCTATATGTAAGAATTTAGACTGCTCAGCAAGACGTGTACACACAGTTATATATGGTACACACTCATTTATTATATAATCATGGTTATGATCAAATCATGTATCAATCAATCAAATTTGAAATATAAAAAATGAAACAACAAACAGGAAGTGGCGTTGAGCAAATCGCCTACAGCTTCACCGCTTAATTGTAATTAAATTATGATATTATTCTTTAATTGTACAAAAAGCCATATGCTATATTATTATGGCCACACATGGGTGTGTAAATCACTGGTTAAAGTGTCGTGTGCAAGTATTGCATAATTACTGGTAATATTTATAAATTTAACATACGAGTATTTCTGGACATAAATAAAAAGTAATACTTAAGTATTCAACTTTACGTAAAATGTCTTAATATATATGTAATGTATATACTTAAGTTGGTATAATAACGCAAGGTTTCTATTAGAAACGCTAAAATATGATTTCATAGTTAAACTTTCGGGATTACCTATGAACTTAAATACCGAATTGGCATGTTGATTTCGGGATTCATATGTGCTATATAAGGACTTTAAACTGTTTTTCAGGTCGACATAGTGTTTTTTTTTTGCAAATTATTAACGGAATCTGGTGTTGGACATCAGTTTAAAAAACCTCTTGGCCTATTATTTTTAAGATAATCTCTATTTCATACTGTTATTCGTTCGTTAAAATCCACAATAGGGAAACTTTACGGTTTTTTTTTCGTATTTTTAAAATGCAAAACATTTCTCTTTCTAATTATCTTTAAACATTTTTGTTGCAATGTCTTAGAAACAAGCTAAAGGAGTCAAGAGAGAGTGGTTTTACTCTGTGTATAAAAACTTTCGGGAGTCCTTCAACTACATTTTCGCTAATATTTCGAATCATATTGTTTTCTGTATGATATACCTATACATACATAAACCTTATTCAGTCGTTACGTTGGTAAATATGTCTTCTAATACGTCAACTTCAGCCTCGGGAAAAAATACTGTTTTTGTTACGAAAACTATTCAATATAATCTCCCTTAACTTCAATACACTTATTCCAATGCTCCTACAATAATTTTATGCCATCCCTATAATGACTTTCCGGAAGCTCTGCAAGATACCCGTCTACGGCTGTAATAGCTTCTTCATTCGACGAAAAACGCTTTCCACGAAGAAATTGTTTCAGGTTTCTGAAGAGGTAGTTGTCGCTGCCAAATCTGGTGAATACGGTGAATGCTCAAGCAATTCGAACTTTAATTCGTTGAACTTTGTGAGCAGGTGCATTGTCTTGATGAAAAATGATTTTTTTTTGGGCTGCAAACCAGGTCTTTTCTAACGAATTTATTCATGCAGCTGATCCAAAAGGCTGCAATAATATTCATTATTATTCAGAGTAGATTGTTTTACGTTTATGCAGACCATCAATTAACAAAATTCCTTTTGCAACCCAAAAAACGGATGCCATAACCTTCTTTGTTGATGGTTGTGACCTCACCTGCTTTGGAGCTGAATAACCAGCTTCAGTCCACTGTAAACATTACTGTTTCAATTTAGTATCATGGTGGTAGGCCCAAGTCTCATCCATAGTTATAAAACGACGCAAGAAATCAGTTTTATTCTGCTTAAAACGCTCCAAATTATGCTGAGGAAATTTGTTTTCGATTCAGTTTTTGTTGAATTATTAAAGTGTGCGGCACTAATTTTCCAAACAGCTTTTTCATCAGTAATTCACCATGAAGTAGTCGTTCGTCTGAGATGCCTATAACCTTAGCAATTTCACGCTTAGTGAAACTTGGATCTTCACTAACAATATTATGAACTTGCTCAATGATTTGTGGTGTGCTTGCGGTTTTTGGTGGTCCTTCACATGGATCGGCTTTAAGCGTAGTACACAACGTTTAAATTCATCAGCCCAAAATTCAACGGTGCGTTTTGAAGGTCCTTATACACTTCTAACAATTGTTCATAAATTTCCTTTGCTTTTAAAGCTTTCAAAACAAAGAATCTAATCACTGCGCAATATTAAATTTTTTCCATATTAAAAAAATCTCTGACACGTCAATTTCAAGTGGCTTGTAAACAAATAATTAATTGACAGAAAGACTTGTAACTTTGCATGTATTCTCACGATAGATGTACAAACTTGAGAAAAAAAATATTTGGAGCTAGTAGTGCTATTTCTTGGTGAGAGCAGAAACTTTTCAACCAACCTGTACAAGCTGAACGATAAAAATTAAGTTCTTCTATGGCAAACTTTTTATTTGTGCAGCGTATTCTAGCTGCGGTGCAATCAAAGTTAATGTTTTTTATTTACTTTTTTTATTTTAATACAAATTTAACGTTAAGAACATTTCTACCACAATAGTCAGTGTCTCTAAAGAATAGCAGAAATAAATAATTTTTTTGTAAATAATTGTTGACTCTTCTAAAAAGTACAAAGCAGCGCTGCTGCCATATAATTTGCGTGGTTCAAATATATAAAACATAAATTATATCTTTCTAATAAATCAGCATTTTTGGGTTTTCTATTTCTATTTGTATTTATTTGTAACGCTGTAGATTAATGTGCGCTTTCGGCGTTTTTACTGACCAAAGACATTTATTAATAATGTTAAATGCAAAATATACAAAAAAACAAAAAAAAAAACAAAAAAAAGCAGTGTAAATCCGTGTGTGCAGTTAACTGTTAAAACACACGTACTCATTTACACACATACGAATATACACTGAAATAAACTTAGTAAATCTTCGGTATGTAAATATAAATTTCGACAAATGATTTGCAGTCACAAGTGGTAAAAATGTTTTGCTTTCATGTGTGTTTATTAGCCGCATGCGAACCTGAGAAAATACACAAAAACCGCAGAGATAATTAATTAAATCACCATTTGTTGCAAAGAAAATCTGTTTCCAGCATTTACGAGCGTTGAAAAAAGCAAAAACAACAACCACAATTGCTTCCCGCACCAATTAGTTTGCTTCAGCTGTTTTAATTTGTTGCTATTTTCGCAGCTGTGCGCGCTTGCGTGTGTGTGTATGTGGGTGCGCGACTATTCGCGTAGCTTGCGGCATTCATTTGTTGTTGTTGCCGTCGACTGCTGGCGTGTTTAATTGCCAAAAATTATTTATTATTTAATAACATATTTGACCGTGATACATAACTTGAGATTTAATGTCCATAAATATATACATACAAACATACATATGTATGCGTACGTGTGTGTGTTTGTAAATAGCGTTTGTGCGCCTGCGCGTTAAGCTTAGTATTTTCGTAAAATTCGCGTAGACTTTTTGATGAATTCAAACACT